ATAAGCACGCCCATAGTATAATTGCTCCTAATGGACACAACTATAAATAAAGCAGAGACGCTTCACGCTTAGGGGCAAAGTAGTGTCTCCATTTGCCATGCAAATCTTAGTTTTTGTTTTAACAAAACTGATTAGGATCCGAAGTTGTTGACGAGGACCAGACATTTAAAGAACTTGTTGAAAGTTGATCATACAAATCATCTTGTGAAACCACGGACAAATTTAAGAGTACGCGCGTTCTTTAGTATAATTACAAAAAAATTTCATTAACTTCATATCTTACAAATTGCCTGGAGTAAAATGAATAAGAGCGGGTAAGCCTTCCCATTAATTACTGTCTCGATCAACATGTAAATTGGCTTAAAATGAAGGATCGAAAACTCCAGAAATAAAGCGTAAATAGTTTATTTAGGACACTCATTAAGTTAAACAGATAAACAACTTTTGATTGACTGTAAAGAAGTAGCATGGCTGAATGAAGGACTTCGGAAAGCTCCTTGAGTGTAACATTTCAATTAATTTTTTGTTATGATAAAACTCTAAAAATAGATCTTTCGAAAAGATCTGTTAAGTTGACAAGTTATTTTCCGCAACGTAAAATGTGGTATTATGAAGAATATTGGAAAGGCTAAAAAAAAAGGGACGGAAACTTTAATTTGACATGAAATGTGGACGTTTAACACCAAAAGGTAGTCAGTATAAAATTATTGTCAGGGACACTACGGTTGAAGGATGTGCGGATTTGATTGCAATTTCAAAATTTTCTCATTTTTTAAAAACGACAACACCCTTGAAGTTGGTGCTTGGTGTTGTTAAAATTGTAATCTGTAGCTAGAATGACTTTTGCAATATTTAAGTGGACTTCATAAGTTAAACTTGAATTATCTTACAACCTAAAAACATTACGAAAATTCAGTATTAGATAGTACAATCTTTTTTCGATGGTTATAGTTGAGGCAGTTTTGTATAAGTGCTCTCGATAATTTAAATTTAAGCATAAACTGTAAGGGGACAGGTCCAAGCTAAGCTCTATTTTATGCAAGAGAAACCTCAGGAATGTTTTGCTCTGTTATAAATTCCCTCTCCAGATCACTGAATTGTTGATTAAACTCTCAGTTCTTAAACTTCCTCTTCTTATTCAGTTTTCGTTGCACTCGACTGTTTTGAAACTGAAGGGTGGGAAATGACCGAAACTTTTAAAAACCATACTTAACTGAGTGCGGGAAAAAATGGAAAAAATTATAGCATAAAATTCCCTAGGTTTGTTTGTAATTTTTTCGAAAGAGATTTCCAGGTGAGAAGATTTTAACTCGTATGTGAAAGGACTCGTCGGAGATATGTGCACACACCTCAAAGATTAAAGAGATTAATTTTGTGGCTATCTTGTTGACGTAAATTTGTCGTGGTGGGAAACATTAGAACTCTCTAAGAAAAGAAAATAATTGGAAGAGCCAGAAATTCTCAAACTTCCTCCAGAACCAATCTAAAGATAAAAAATTTGAGCATGGCAGCACTTAGTTTTCGAGGTTTGCGAAAATCTGCTGTGCGTACCGTAATAATTTCTATGCTGCATATCTTTCAATTCTTCATGTCTGTTGGTATCTCGTAGAGAAGAAAGACATACCGGAGTTTATTTTCACTATTTTGGTTTCACAAAGAGTGCCGTTATGTCTTGAGCTGATTTAATAAATTTCAAATTCCTTCGGCATTCCACTTTTAATCTTTACTGCTACGTGTTGAAATCTTGTTTAATTCTATATCCGAGTGCGGTAATTTCAACTAAAGAGCAAGAAAATAAAACCTTGAACTTCAAACTGAAATAAAGATGAACCGAGCGTTGTACAAATGTAAACAATTTAGTGTCGTAAGATCCCAAGCGTCCCTGCGTTTTATCAGGTTGATTGACCCGGAGTTGAATTTCCCTTATCTTGACCTTTACCGTTTTGTTTTTCTATTTTTACTATGATAAAAGACATGTGCATAAGTGAAGAGCTTTGCTGTTTACCGACATACTGCTTAACTGTCACAGAAGCTGACAGACTCAAGTCATGTGCAAAACGTTCTAGGCTCTTCTTCATTGCACTGTTCATTGTTTTGAATTTAATTTTTGCCTGAAAAACTTGAGTTGGAATGAAATGTAAAAATCTTTGAAAATCATTGTGTGGATTACGTAGGGAAAATGAAAGTCCTATATTGTTGATGTGTCTAAGCATAGGAACAAATGAAAAAAGCGTTTTCTTCTAAAAGTTTTGATATATACACTAGAAAGCCACGCCTGTCTCCGATTTTATTACCTTACTTTGATAACCTTAGAGCAGACCGATAGAACTAAAGAGGCTGTTTAACAGCCTCTTCAGGCAAACTTGGAAATTGATCAATCCATCGGATCTGTGAAAAAGAGTTGAATAAAGTTTTCTTGAGGGCATAAAGCGAATTTATTTTGAAAATATTATCGTGAAAATTAGTATCGCTGTGATCATTCTTTGTAAAGAACACTTTGTAAGGTAACCGGACATTACATCCCCGTGAGATTGACAATTTTTGGACATAATCGATAGGTAAACATGCTCCTTTGCAAAACTTGAAATTGATATTAGGAAACTTTCTGTGCCTACTCTTAGTCGTCGAATTTTGAGAAAATTCAGGCCAAAGTTTTTCGAAACAAATGCAGTATAGCTTCTTGTAACCACACATAAGTGGCTATATCAAAATTTGTCAGAGTCAACTCAAACCCTTTGTTCTGTAATAAACGATGCAAAAAAAAGAACGCTTAAGATACAATTTACAATAAAACGAGAAGAGAACCGAATGGCCGAACGCTCTCAGCCAAATTCATGAAAACATTAGGGGGAAAAAAAAACACAGGCCCTCTTAGGACAATGGAAGTAAGAATGGCGTAATTACCGGAAAGTTTTATGATCATACCAGCGATAACTACACCCTCAGTTCGATTAGGATGCAACCAGTTGTAAATGATAAATAAAAAATCGATAATAACAAGTAAATGGAATTGCTCGGTGGAAATGAGTTATAAAATGATAAACACCTGCCATACACAACGAAAGTTTATGAAGTCAAATCATTAAATGAATTTTACTGAACTGACAAAATGAAAGATACTGAAGTTGATATTGAACAACGAATTATCTAGACTACGGTGACCACTAGCTGCGTCCAACAAATGACTTCGACTAACAGCTATTGTGTTCTGAAATAGCCGTCGAAGAAAGGAGAAATGATTACATTTAAAAGGCAGGATGTGGAGATTAAAAGGATTTTTGGTCCAATTGAGCCCCTAGCCAAGTCCTAAGTGTCTCCTATGACCCCAGGAGGAAACCGCAGCTTAACTCTTTTGTATTTTTCAAGTCCTTTTCTAAACGGAGACATTAATCTAAAGTGTTGAAAAGCCACTATCCAGACTCTTTCCGTTTTTTGTGTCTGGTTTCTTAGTGTATTCTTTATATTGTATGCCATCTTCTTGAAACGAAAAGTTATGTGAAAAATGACTGGGACTTAGCCGGGTGTTTTAAGGGAAATTTATTCGCAATCGAGTAAAGTGCAGTCAACCGCAGTCAAAATGCGTCCATTAGTCATCGGTAGTCTTTCAACTGAAATACAGAGTGTATCCATTTAGAAACTGGAAGAAAAAACCAGCACACATTATCAAATACTCCTATCTCGAAGGATTCTTTAAATGTGCTTTTAATCTGGGAACAAAGTATCGCGCAGCAATTTGAATACAAATGTGTAAAAAACTTAAGAGAAATTTCAACATCTAAATGTAAACCAACAATAGCCCCTATCAAGAATCAAAACCTTCCCTTTTTATGAAAACGCCTCGGGCTAAAGATCTTTCAAAGGGAAGGAGTGACTTTCAGACAACTTGTGTGAAGAATAAACACCTTTGGAAAAACAAATAAACACAAATTTGAGTCGTGCTTGATGAAGATAAAAGCCTATTAGTGCATAACTTTTGATTTTTAGGATATTTAGCTCGAATCTTTGTACTTTATTGCCAAGCTGATATCTTTATGCAAATGATTGCTTTTTAGGCAAATGCGCTAAAGCCATCTTTGTCGTAATCTTTTCGATAATAGCAGACAAAAATATGTATGGGCTGTTATCGGCTTGTTTGCATTCCTGTTCTATCTTGCAGCCTCATTATATCTTCAATCATACGCCATCTTACATCTCTGCGGCGAGATCGTTAATCCTTCCCCAAATCGGAAAGCAATTTTAGATGCATTTGCGCTCGCGCTTTTGACAGGCTGTCAAATTTTAATCGCAAATGCAAAGATCCATTTGTCGCGACAGCAAATCGTGTCAGATGTAGCGAACTGTCACGAAATGAGCTAGTGTAGTCAATTTCCCGTTGATTTAATATTTACAAAAAGAATAATGTTGCTGGCATCATGTTCGCTCCATTTTTAACGCTTAAATAGGATTTTGAGAAGAATCCAAACGATATTGACAGCTTATCTTTTGTAAGCCAAGAAAAGTGACATGAAAAGCGTGAGTCATCTTCGACCCCTAAAAATCTCCAGCACAGGCTGGTGTGGGCATTTTTGAAGTGTTTTGAATGCAATGGTTGCAGTGATCTGGAATTGCGGTTTTATGTTACTCCTTGTTCGATATTAGGGTGTAATATCACAACGATAAACATTCGCGTGCGAACGAAATGTTCGCCAAAAATTGACAACCGCTCGTTTGTCAAATTCGGTGAGGACTAACACGTTAAACTTAGTTAATCCACATTTAAGAAACTCAAGTTAAGATTCTAAATAAAGTAGACAATGTAAAACAAACAAGAGACTAGGTCATTTTTTTCACCCTTCAGAGCTGTCACAACATCCTGATTTTATCCATTATCCCGATTACAGCTCGCAAACCCAAAACAAACTGAGTGGGTTTCTTTACAACATAAAGCGTCACACGTCGAGACGAATACGCAACGCTGATTGGCCTATTCCGTTGGCAACAATTTCCCGCTAATTGGCCGTTTGATGTGATTGGTTGTTGAATGGCTGAGTTTGAGAGGCGCATCTCTTGCGATCATTTCTTTAACACTAACCATGCACCGTTTGATGTTCTTTAGACTGGAAAGTGCTTGAGAGGGTCCATGCAGTGTTTGATCTCGTTCCGGCAACATGCTCGTGCTGCTTAGCACACTGTGGCTCGCCTGTGCGGTTTTCCGAAGCCAAGGTACACGAAGAGATTCCGTGATTATTTTCATACGTGATATTTCAGTTTCTCTCCGTGTGTTCGTTCATTCATCGTTTCATCGGCGAGATAGCGCTTAGTAAGGGATCTTGGCAGCTCGTTCGCTCTTAGCTTCGAACTAATCTCGCGCCGGAGTCGGCGCTTTTGTAGACTGGTCGTTCTGTTGGTTTTAGGTCGTTAGAATTAATCACGGTTTGTGGATTTAACTGAAGAAATAATTAGGACAACCACGCGAATTCGAATGAATCTTCGCGCATTGAATTGAATGTAAATTTCCGGTGCCTTGAACTTCGTTTGCGGGTTGGCTAGGATTTACGTCAAATACAATGTGTTGGCCGTCACTGATCGTTACCAGAAATCCTCGTGATGCTCTCTAACTCTAATATTTCCGTTGTTTTATCTTGCAGCCATCAGTTGCTGCCGAAGTGCTACTGATTTTGGTGCTTGCAAACATCACTGTAATGAGGTAATGTTCAAGCTACATACGATCTCTTTTATCTTGCCCGGCGGGACATTGAAGTTCTACGATTTTGAAAGAGAACGTTACTCTATGAACTTAAAAGTCGTTCACTTCATTTACCCATCGCCTTCAAAGAGGCGAGTGCGAAATTTCGCTCTACTTTGAGTGCGAACTTATTCACACGTATACAAGTTTATTTTAGACCGTAGGCAAATTGGATTCAAATGCCTCTCCACTAACATCTGTGTATGTTGTTGTGATTCTCTTATGTCAGTTGGAGTCCGAAACAGACGTAAGTTTACGCTATGAGAAGCTCCGTGATCTCCCGGCTTACTGTCCCGGACATTTGGTAAGGAAAATGTCACCTTAATTCGGTGTGTTTGTGCGAACACTTTGTTGCTAGTGCAAATGTCGTAGCACAATAATTATGTGCAAGTGACCCGAAGGAATGGAAGAGATAGGAAGCGAATTCGCCGCCCAAAACACTAAAATCGTTTATTTTAATCCTCTTTTTTCAGATCTCTTTCTGGCGGTGCCTTAATGTTTCAAATCCAGGTGAGAAATGTGTAGGAGTAAGTAGTCGTATCTGGTTGTATTGTCAATCTAATTTCTACTAATAACTTCTGCAAATAAAAGCCTTGCTTCGTATAATAGGCCAATTAGCTTCGGTCTAAGTTTCGTCGCCTTCGTCTAAACGCCGAAGTTACGCATAATTTAGGATCTTTGTGTACTTTACAAGTTTCATAGACTTAACTGTCGTTCGTGATTAAACTTAAACGAGGTGAGAATTACATTTCATGGGAACTGTGTCTGGAAAGGTCGCGCCATTAGCTTCGGAGCGCGAGTGAGTGTTTATCCATGCGTTCAGAATTTATCACCGTTGTCCTAGGTTTAACAACTTCAAATTTTGAACTTTACTATTGTCAGTCAGGCAGAGTTTTGTTTATTCGGATGAAAGGGATTATTTTGAAATGGTTGAAGGTGAAGTCCACGTGGAAAAGCGCGTTTTCTCTTATCACTTACTCGCTGTTAATAGCAACCTTTTAACATGGCATCATCTACGATGCAAAGCGGGCCTAATGGAAAATTAATTGGGCTGTTGTATTGTCTTTTTCTCAGATAGTTATTTTTTCGTTTCCTCTGAGACCATCAACCGTTAAAGAGGGATTGCATGATTTTATTTGAAGCATTTCGGTTGATGAAAAGTACGCATTGTAAAGGGTAAAGTAATTTTATTCTTGTAGACAGAGGAACACCATGCGCAAAGTTTTTGTTCCAGTCGATTCGAAGCAAATGTGTATTTCTCTGATAACACACAGAGTGTTTTTTGTGTCTACCATAGGCGATGAATATGAATTATTTGTCATAATCGACAAGAAATTGAAATTTTTGCGCATAGAAATACGTTTTTTTAAGTTATGTTTTCAACATCTCTTCTGTGCGTCTGTTTCATGTCACACCCGTATCATGAATTCTGCTAAGGGCAAACTCAATCTGTTCTTGTGAGTTAGATTTCCCTCACAGATCTGTTTGGCGCTGATCTTTTGTTCCAGAGAAGAAAAGGAATTATGTGTTTTAATGGGGTGTTGATGTTCTTTCACTCGGTCCTGAAATGTGGTCCAACTTGAGTAAAACGCAGTGTGGAGTTGAGCAAATTCTCGTGATCTTTCATGTCCTGTGCGCGTGCAGGCAAATCTTTCGTACCAATTGACGTATTAAAGGCTAGTTGCATCAGCAAGATAGGAGATTTCGTCGCCTTCTTGAAAGCCAAAGTTAGTCTAAGTACTTAAGAGATAATTCAGTGGCGTGTTGCATTTTTGAACAAGCGGTAACCCAAAGGGAACGCTTATTTGGTGTGGGGTTTGAGGAATGCTTTGCGGCTGCAATTATCATGTTTCGCTCTACCCCTTTTTTTAAGGGTGAAAAAAATCAAGCAGTATATTTTTATTTTTACAAAGGCATGAAATTCGATTATCTCTTACGACAGATCATAGTTAAGTAAGAGTGAACGCTTAATATCTCTTTAGTTTCATATCACTGATTCACTTTTTCGATTAAGATGAGGTTTTGGCATTTCTCCATCCAATATAAGTTCTCAATAAAGCTCTTGTTATTGTGCTCCGGTCAATGTCTTGCTAAAGAACAGAACATGCATTCCAAAGTTATTTTTACTCTTTTAATGTTCAACAAGTAATTGTTAACAGATTTTAGACACGATTAAAAAACTCCCAGATAATTTATTGGTAATTTTTTAAGTAGTAGCTTTCCCGTGAAACACGAAACTTTCATTTTGAACAACTTCGCCTTACAAGGATAGACTATTAGAAATCTGATCTCTTCGGCAGGTCTTTCTACTTTGCCGGCTTTTAAAAAACCATTAATTAAATAACATTAAGGTATTAGCCAGTGAGCTTCTTAGTGGAATAAAATTATTGTAATCTTTCAAAAAAATCCCAGTTTCATGCCTGTTGGAACATTTTGATGAAACAGTGTTAATATTTGAGGCTAATCTGCTTGGAATTAAAGGAAATTTCAAGTAATTAACCTCCTTTTGACATACAGAGGCTTGGGTCATTTCAGAAGGTGAAATATATTTCTTGTTGTTTTTAAAGATTTCTCTCCCCAACACATACCTGAAAAATTTGATCAGGGGTATGAAGTGTATAACACATTGAAAGTCATACCAATTTATAATTAAGACTGTGTATAAATTTGTCTGAATAACTTGAATGCAAATTTTGAAATTCTCATTTTAGATTATAAAAAACTCTTTTCTTGTCTAAATGCTCAAACAAGACTTGGCTGAAAGTCTATTTGTTTTTCATGGTCCTTGAATTCACATGTAGCCAAAGGTAACTTTTCCTGAATAGATAGTGCCTTAAAGAGAAATAAAATGTTTGGGATTGTAACTTTAATTTTAAAAAAGATTCTTAAGAATGTTGGCATTTTTGTCTGTCAAATTATGTGTTGATGGATTTTTCACAAACTGCCTTTTGTAGTTTGACAGAGAACTCAAGCAAATTCCCAGTAAGCTTTGAACTTGACAGTGGTTTATGGCGAGAATTTTATCAAACAGTATTAAACATTCAAAGGTCAGACTAGGTAAAATTTGATTAAACGTTTTTATCAAAGGGACTCTGTTTACTTATAAATCCTGTGCTGTTAGAGTTGAGGTCTTTTTTTCCTCATAAGTTTATCATATATTTGGTTAATTCTATCTTTCAGAAGGGCATCAATATATGATAGCAGCTATCAAGGTGTCATAAATGATACCATATTTTGAGTACTAACATTTTTCTATCATGGAGTATGACTGGATAATTTTTACAAAGGTCCCAAAAGGCTTTCCTTTAGGATGAAGAGCTGGCATTCATTTCAATTTTGGGGGAATTTTGTTTATTTTAAAGATAGGTGTATACGTGCCCCATTGTTACCAGAAGGTGGTGAAAACTATGATAATAATTAATCTGCCTGAATCATGCAATCATTTTAAATTTTTTGGCTGACAAACAATATAGCAGATGAATTAAAGAAAAAATTTAAAGTTATAATGTTGAATTGTTATATTTCATGGAGTTTCTAGTTATATAGGCAACTTCTGGGCTATCAATACTGCTGCATGCAACTTGTTGCTGGATAATTTGATTAAGTAAAATATTAGAGAGTACTGAGATATTTTTGAAAGGAAATGGGGTGTTTACTTTGTCTTAAGAAAAACTTCTCAGATGTCAAAAGGTGTCTGTACAAAGCTTTTTAATGTCTCTATAAAAGGCGTAAAACACTTTTCAAAATAGTAGAGAATGTAAGATAATGTTGATGTCATGTTGGGTGCTAAATGTGCCTTTGTGGGATTGCTTCTGGCAATGGAGTGTAACATTTGTTGTATAGAGTTGTTTGTCTTAATAGATCTACGCACCTTGGCTGTCGTGTTTGAACAATGCAACATTTTTGAAATATTAGCATGCTGTTTCAATTGTTCCAGGATGCAAAAAAGCAATTGACTCAGTAGGATAGTCAGGCATGTGACAGTTTTGTGTATGGATGTCAAAGAGATTTAGTTGATCATCAATCAGACTTAAATCAACAAATGTAAATCTTGCCATCTGCCTTTGTGTGTGTAATTAGTCAGTGGAACAGAAATTTACATGTAAATAGCAAAATATATTGTTAGAGTTTCAGTTGATTAAGAATAGAAACAAAGATAATCACAAAAGTTTTTGTAGTTAGAGAACTTTTCAACATTAGTCTTCATCTGGGTCTAAACAGTTTGGCTAAAAAATCTTGTTTAGTGACAAATTTGGCAAACTGATCAAACATCTTTAATCACAAATGTTTTCCACTTATTGTCATTGTGCATCCTTTGTTATCCTTTGTCTAAATGTTTCAAAGTCCAAATGGCCTCGTGCTGTTGGTAAATGGACTAAAATGGGTTTGCCTTTGTGTTGTAAAACAGCAAGACAACTCTGTGGGAGTTAATGTGTTTCAATATTAATGTGAAGGAGGGCTTATTTTGATTTCAGACTTACCCCATTTAGGCCTAACAAATAATGACAGGAACTTCCTGTGTGCCATATTTGCAATCAAATCAATATACAAGAATGTACTCTAAAGAACAGAATTCAATTTAAGTTCTTGATACTTTTTGTGATGTGAATTGTATACTGTATCACTTCCTTTATACCACAGTTTAAAAACAGAAATAATACAAATTGTAAGTGCCTTTATTTTCTTAATGGACAATACTTCATTTCTGAAAGAGTTTT